TGCATTAATAAACCAAAAAAAATATGCAGTTTATTTATTTTTGCACGAATTTATGATTTTTTTTTACTAATTTATTTATAGTTTTTGCAGGTTTCTTCCCCCATATTGAACCGCTATGGGGTGGTCAAATTTTGTATGATCTATTATTTTAATTATTAACATTGTTATTATTTAAAATACAGATCAGAGTAAAATAATTCTAAGGACCAGCATCTTGTTTTGACCGCCTTCAGAGGGGAAAAGAGTCAATCTCCCCTAACCTCCTGTAATTCGCACCCTGCATCCCCACCTCTTCCTCAATATGTTTATTTCCGTGGTATTTTACTCCAAACTGGTTTATAACTAAATGCATCTGCAATAATTACACTGTTTGTTGTGTCTTGTCTCGTTTCAAGCTGCCTGAAAAGAAAAGAATGAAATCTGACATCAGTTCTGGTACATTAGGCTATTCCTTTCGATTTTAATGCTATTGATGAATCGTGACTGAAATTAGGCCCTACAAGTAGCCTAATTTTACCACAAACAATCTTTACCCTTGTTTTGCCCGATATTGCCAGTCAAACCATTTTTGGGTGTCTGAACACAACAGGGAAATAAAGTTACCTCTGCTAATGTTTACATTCGTTAAAAAACGGCCTTTCCACTCACTGCGGTTTAAGGTCGCAGTTAATTTAATTTAACTAACCGCCACAGGTCAGCTAATCTTCAAAATCACAGGTAATTTTCACGCACTTTTAATCATTATGAGCTTTTGTCTTAAATAAAATAATATATTTAAAACGCGGTATATGACATTAGCAAGATGCTAGCAATTTGTATTCAGTGTTTTGGCTCTAGGGGGCATGTTTAAGATATGACGGCAAATATATGACAGAAATGTGATGTATATCGACAGTTTGTAGTAGTTTTAATGATGTCTAAATGAGCCAACATTCTGAATTCACAACTAACTTTCTCATTAAAAACTCGGTCATACAGTTAGCGTACTAGCTAAATAAAAATAAGCGTTAAAATGACCAAGTCACCTTATTTATTTAGCGATTTATTTTATTTTTTTACTCGTGCTTGGAGGGAAAATCGAGCTTTATTATGAATCTTTTTTTATTTGACACATTTTGTACAACATTATCCGGTATGTCTGCTTCTCAGTGACATGCTGAATAATAACAGCTATAAAGTTTAATGTTTATTAGGCGTCATCATAACTCCGTAACCAGAGTCCATCATAATAGAGACACAGCGCCATCTATTGGACACTCTGTAGACTGATCATTCAGTTATATTCCCTATGGCCTATCAATAAATGTGTTAGTTTATCACAATACTTTAATATCTTTAGCTACTGTTAATATAGTTTAAAGCATTATTATTATTATTATTATTACTAAAATTGCAAATTACAAGACATAAGTGTGAATTATTACCACTTCAAATTGTATTTTGCTATTCAGTGTAGTTTGCTAATTTGTTTAATATTAGAATATTATTTGTATTATTTTCATATCATGTATAGATCTACTTAAACATTGTTATTTTATTTAATGATTGCGTGTGATATGGTCCCTTAGATTTGAGGATCCGTCTCTCTCTATATTAATATTCTATAAACATAAACACAGTCTGTCGATCTATCTATCTATCTATCTATCTATCTATCTATCTATCTATCTATCTATCTATCTATCTATCTATCTATCTATCTATCTATCTATCTATCTATCTATCTATCTATCTATCTATCTCTATCTATCTATCTATCTATCTATCTCTATCTATCTGTCTGTCTGTCTGTCTGTCTGTCTATATCTATCTATCCATCTATCCATCTATCTATCTATCTATCTATCTATCTACAATGAATACAATATGCTGCTATTGCGCTGGTCTGTAAATGAAGCATTGCTTGTTTCTGGTATTTTGTAAGCTACAGCTCGGCACACTTCATCTTCTGAAGAGAAGGGAAGATGTATTGTTAGGAAACGCTCTGAAAGTCCATGTTTCAGGACTGATTCCAGCTGTTTTCACCACGCTTGTGCAAGTGTATTTATTTCAGCAACTTCTTTTTTTTCCTGAAGATTCCTCGAACTCACCGTCCAGCTGCTTCATTGCGCAATATCCTGAAATAACTGTAAACTGGACACCAGGGCCTAAATTCAGGCCTTTTCTATTTACCTCTGTGTTCAGTGAATGAAGGAAACTCAAAAGGGTTGGAAAAAGTGGAGGATGAGCTGAAGATGACTTCTTATGTTTGAGTAAACTGTTCCTTTAAGAAGGGCGGCATGGTGGCTCAGTGGTTAGCACTGTGCCCTCACGGCAAGAAGGTCACTACACAGCAAAAAAATCAGTGTACATTTCACTCAATTTGAGTTTAACTTAACACTCCTTGGGTGTACATATGACTCCCTCCATTTTGGAGGTAAAATAACACTTTCTAAAGTGTAAAATTTGTACATTACTCAAAGAGTTTATTTTAACACCATAAGAGTTTATTCTAACATCAAACCGGAGTGGTATAGTTCGAGTCCCGGCTGGGTCAGTTGGCATTTCTGTGTGGAGTTTGCATGTTCTCCCCGTGTTGGTGTGGGTTTCCTCAGGGTGCTCCGGTGTCCCCCACAGTCCAAACACATGCACTATAAGAGGAATTGATGAATTGAATTGGCCGTAGTGTATGAGTGTGCATGGGTGTTTCCCAGTACTGGGTTGCAGCTGGAAGGGTATGCGCTGTATAAAACATATGCTGGAATCGTCGGTGGTTAATTCCGCTGTGGCGACCCCTCAAAATAAGGTACTAACTTAAAGTAAAATGAATGAATGAATGTCCCTTTAAGATTGTAGCCTACTTGTTCCATTATGAACTTCAGTACATCACTTTAATGACTTGTGTTCTGTACAGTAGTGCTTTCTGTCATGTATTCAAACACGTGTCGAGTCTTGGTTTCTCTCCAGTCCTCTAGTAGTCGTGTTCCTCCTCTACGTGACCGGCTCCGCGCTCCAGCTCGGGGCTGGCAGGGGTTTCTGGAGCTGGTCCACAGAAAGGAACTCAGATCACCTTCAGTCTCTGGAGAAACACTGCAAGAGTTCAGGATTTCACAAGTGCAGCTTCAGTCTGTCCTCGGAGAATGGAGCAACGGAGGAGCTGTTCTGCAGATTATTGCCTCATTGTGTGCAATAAAAGGCTAAATCATTATTGCACATGCTCTGAAAATTCAGTCATTCATTCATTTTTCTTCAGCTTAGTCCCTTATTTATCAGGGGTTGCCACTGCGGAATGAACCACCAACTTATCCAGCATATGTTTTAGGCAGCGGATGCACTTCCAGCTGCAATCCAGTAGTGGGAAACACCCATATACACACTCATTCACACTACGGCCAGTTTAGTTAATCAATTCCTCTATCGCACATGTGTTTGGATTGTGGGGTAAACCGGAGCACCCGAAGGAAACTCACACCAACACGTGGGTTTGTTGGCATTTCTGTGTGGAGTTTGCATGTTCTCCCAGTGGACATGCAAACTCCACACAGAAATGCCAACTGACACAGCCGGGACTTGAACCAGCAACCTTCTTGCTGTGAGGTGGCAGTGCTATCCGCTGAGCCACCGTGCTGCCCAATAATAATATATGTATTGTGTATATATATATATATATTCATTTTTTTATTGTTCATAGATTTATATGTAAAATATACATGGTTTTGTTTTAGATGCACAATATTCGATGGTCTAACACAGACTGTATAATAGCAATGAATGATGATGTTTGTGTGCTATAGCAGTATTATATCTGTGTGTGTGATGTGACTGAGTGCAGATCTGAGCACTGCTGGCCATTTGACAGATTATTTATACTCGTTTATAGCTCAAGCACACACTGTTCTGTCTAATAACCTTTTTTACTTTCAGGAAACTGTATAGCACAATAGAGAATACAGAAAATATATAATATATAATATAAAGTAATTCATTTACACAACTTCCACATAATGGAGAGAAGAATGGAGATTGGAGAAAAATAAATCAATAATAATAATTATATATATATATATCATCAGGTTTCGTGAGAAAACTCATCATATTTATGCAAGTGAATTAATTGTTTTAAGAAAATTATAAGAAAAAAAATTATTTTCTTGTTCTTGTCATCTGGGAGCTGTTTTTGAGGTTTTGTTTTTGATTAAGTAAATTTCATAAATTAATAAATGTAATAATTTAATAAATTAATATATATATATGTGTGTATATATGTGTGTATTTATTTATATATTTACTTATTTGTATATTTATGTATGTATTTATTTATTTATGTATTATTTTAGATATTTATTTATTTATTTGTGTATCATTTATATATTTATTTATTATATATTTATGTATTTATTTATTTATTTATTTATGCATGTATTTATACATTTATGTATTAATTTATTTATTCTTTTTATTTGTTTATTTTTATATTTATTTATACATGTATTTAGATATAAATTTATGTTTATATATATTTATTCATTTATATATTTATGTATTTGTTTATTTATTTGTTTATGTATGAATGTATTTATTTATATATTTATTTATGTATGTATTTACTCATTTATTTTGATATTTATTTATTTATGTATTTATTTATATATTTTGTCCGTATTTACTTATTTTTATATTTATTTATTTATTTTTTTTGTGTATTCACTTGTTTATTTATATATTTACGTAATTCTTTATTTCTTTATGTATGTATGTATTTATTTATTCATTTATTATTTTTTTATAATTATTTTTTTATTTTTAGTTTTTCCCTAAACTTGTCTGTGGTAAGATTTGGATATTGGAGTTTGATTTATTAAAACCTTATAAAACTTAATAAAGACGTGATATATTTTATTCTGTTTCACATAAGAAGTAATGCCATCAAACACCCTTTTGTTGTAAAATAGATATATTTAGTACACACTATTTACAATAATTATAATGATTATTTACAATAGCACCAATAAAGAAAAGGAAATCACAGACACCAAAACTAATCTGATCTGAGGATAGAAACGATAGATAGGCTCGTAATATAAACTCCTGTCCGCACCATGTCATCAGCAATCCCACGCGCTGATTGGCGGAGCCCTGAGGTGTGTCGGGGGGGTGTGTCCTTACGTCAGTGCGTCATGACGCCGTTTCCGGAGCTGCAGCTGCAGTTTGACAGCGGCGGAGGTGCGTCGAGTGTCGGCGGAGGTTATTATGCGTTTGTGGAAATGTTATAAATGATATTTGTCTGCAGTGAGCGGCGGACGGCACCGCTACCGGATCCTGGACGCCCCGAGACGCGATGTTTGACCAGCAGCGGCCGGTAAACCTAAAGGTGACTCGCGTTTGTTTGTGTTTGTCAGAGTCTGGAAGTGAAGTGAAGTGAAGATCAGAGCTGTGAACGCGCACATCTTCACATGCACTGCCTGACGCTGAGATCAACCTTTCTATTCTACTCTACTCTATTCTGTTCGTTTCTATTCTATTCATCCAGATTTGTTTTACATTTTTTTTTGATTCATTTCATTTTCTGATGGTCATTTGTGGTCTAGTTTGAAGTATTAAAGTTGTTAGGTTTTTATTAGATGCATTTGCACATTTAGTTCTATTCTATCTCTATTCTATTCTTTCAGTTTCATATTACTTTTAGCTTTATTTGACTTTATCTGTTTGGTCCATATTGTAGTATCATGTTGAGCTCTATTCAATTCTATTCTTTTCTATTCTTTCAGTAGTGATTTGTATTTTTCTGCTTCATTAATTCTGTTATCAACAGTTGTGGTCTAGTTTGAAGTATTAAAGTTAGAGTTGTTAGGTTTTTACTAGATGCATTTGCATATTTAGTTCTATTTTGTTAAATTCTATATTTCGTTCTTTAATTGTGATTTCTATACTGCTTTATTTTATTCTCTGGTGGTCATTTGTGGTTTAATTTATAGTATCAAAAGTGTTGGTATTTGCTTTTTATTAGGTGCATTTGCATATTGAGTTCTATTCAATTCTATTCTATGCTTTCAGTTATGTTTTCTTTTCTTTGTATCTTTATTTTTATTTATCTGTTTGGTCTATTTTTTACTATTAAAGTTAGTGTTGGAACTATTTGATTTCATTAGATGCATTTGTATTTTTTAGTTCTATTCAATTCTATTCTTTTCTGTGCTTTTTGTTGGGCTTTAGTTTCTTTTTTTTAGCTTTGTTTTAGTATGTGATGGTCTGTTTTGTAGTATTAAAGTTAATGTCAGTACTATTTGGTTTTTATTGGATAAATTTGCATATTTAGTTCTATTTTGTTAAATTCTATATTTCGTTCTTTAATTGTTATTTCTATACTGCTTTATTTTATTTTCTGGTGGTCAGTTGTGGTTTATTTTATAGTATTAAAGTTTTTTTGCTTTTTATTTGGTGCATTTGCATATTGAGTTCTATTCTATTCAATTCTATTCTATGCTTTCAGTTATGTTTTCTTTTCTTTGTATCTTTATTTTTATTTATCTGTTTGGTCTATTTTTTTACTATTATATTAGTGTTGGAACTATTTGATTTTATTAGATGCATTTGTATTCTTAGTTCTATTCAATTCTATTCTTTTCTGTGCTTTCTGTTGGGCTTTAGTTTCTTTTTTTTAGCTTTGTTTTAGTATGTGATGGTATGTTTTGTAGTATTAAAGTTAATGTTGGTACTATTTGGTTTTTATTGGATGAATTTGCATATTTAGTTCTATTCTGTTAAATTCTATTCTATTTCGTTCTTTAATCGTGATTTCTTTACTGCTTTATTTTATTTTCTGGTGGTCATTTGTGGTTTATTTTATAGTATTAAAGGGTTGGTATTTGTGTTTTATTTGGTGCGTTTGCATATTGAGTTCTATTCTATTCTATTCTATTCTATTCTATTCTATTCTATTCTATTCTATTCTATTCTATTCTATGCTTTCAGTTATGTTTTCTTTTCTTTGTATCTTTATTTTTATTTATCTTTTTCGTCTATTTTTTACTATTAAAGTTAGTGTTGGAACTATTTGATTTTATTAGATGCATTTGTATTCTTAGGTCTATTCAATTCTATTCTTTTCTGTTGGGCTTTAGTTTCTTTTTTTTAGCTTTGTTTTAGTATGTGATGATCTGTTTTTTAGTATTAAAGTTAATGTCAGTACTATTTGGTTTTTATTGGATGCATTTGCATATTAATTTCTATTCAATTCTATCACTTTGTGTTCTTTCAGTAGTGATCATATTTCTCAGCTTTATTTTTGTTATCGACAGTCGTGGTCTTTTTTATTGTATTATAGTCAGTGTTGTAACTATTTGAGTTTTATTAGATGGGTTTGCTAATTGAGTTCTACTCAATTCTATTGTTTTCTATTCTTTCAGTAGTGATTTGTATTTTTCTGCTTTGTTTCATGTTGTTATCAACAGTTGTGGTCTAGTTTGAAGTATATAAAGTTAGAGTTGTTAGGTTTTTATTAGATGCATTTGCATATTTAGTTCTATTCTGTTAAATTATATTCTATTTTGTTCTTCAATAGTGATTTCTTTACTGCTTTCTTTTATTTTCTGAGGGTCAGTTGTGGACTTTTTTAGAGTATTAAAGTGTCGGCATTTGATTTTTATTGGATGCATTTGCATGTTGAGTTCTATTCAATTCTATTCTGTGCTTTCATTTAGGATTTACTTTCTTTTTTAGCTTTATTTTAGTTTGTGATGGTCTGTTTTGTAGTTTTAAAGTTAGAGTTGTTACTATTTGGTTTTTATTTGATGCATTTGCATATTTAAGGCACGTTTTATTTAGTTATTTCTTCAGTTCTATTATGATCTATTCTTTCAGTAGTGATTGTATTTTTCTGCTTTATTTTGTTATCAACAGTTGTGGTCTGTAGTTTGTAGTGTTAAAGTTAGTGTTGGTGCTATTTGTTTTTTATTAGACGCATTTGCATATTAAGTTCTATTAAATTTATTTTTTTTGATTTGATTTTTCTGCTTTATTTTATTTTCTGCTGGTCAGTTGTGGTCTCGTTTGTAGTATTAAAGTTTGTATTGTTACTTTTAGGTTTTTATTAGCTACATTTGCATATTAAGTTCTATTTAGTTTTATTCTTTTCTGTGCTTTCAGTTGTGTTTTGATCTGTTTTGTATTAAAGTTAGTTTCTGTCGCTGTTTGGTTTGTATGAAATGCATTTGTATATTTAGTTCTATTCTGTACTTTCAGTTGTGTTTTATTTTCTTTTTAGCTTTTTTATGTTCTCATGGTCATTTGTGGTCTAGGTTAAAGGATTAAAGTTAAAGTGGTTCGGTTTTTATTAGATGCATTCGCATATTTAGTTTTATTCTATTCTTTCTGTTGTGTTTTATCTTCTTTTCTGCTTTACTTTATTTTGTGATGAAAGCTGTGGATTATTCTGTAATGTTAAATTTACGGTTGTTACTATTTGTTTTGTTATTAGATGCATTTGCATAATTAGTTCTATTTAATTCTATTTTCAATTCTGTTTTATTTCAGTTGTGTTTTTTATTCTTTATTGTTATGGACAGCAGTGGTTGATTTTGTAGTAATAAAGTTAGTATTTGGATTTTATTCTATGCATTTGCATATTTATCTACATTCTGCATTGTTCTATATTTCCAGTTGGGTTTTATTTTCTTTGTAGCTTCAGTTCAGTTTGTGACGATCACATTTGGACTATTTTGTAGTATTAAAATACTGTTTGAGTTTTTAATATATGTATTTGTCTATTGGATTCTACTCAGTTCAGCTTAACTCAATTATTTCAGTTGTTTTTATATTCTTTTCTGCTTTATTTTATATTATGAATTGTCAGTTGGGATTTATTTTTTAGTATTGAAGTTAGTGTTGGTACTATTTGGTTTTTATTGTGCACATTTGCATATTGAGTTCTATTCAATTCTATCACTTTGTGTTCTTTCAGTAGTGATCGCATTTCTCAGCTTTATTTTTGTTATTGACAGTCGTGGTCTCTTTTATTGTATTAAAGTCAGTTTTGTAACTATTTGATTTTTATTAGATGCATTTGCTAATTGAGTTCTATTCAATTCTATTGTTTTCTATTCTTTCAGTAGTGATTTGTATTTTTCTGCTTTTATTTTGTGAATTGTCACGGTGACCTGTTTCGTAGTATTAAATTAGATGCATTTGCATATACAGTTCTATTGTAGTATCTCCTATTCTATTCTATTCTATTCTATTCTATTCTATTCTATTCTATTCTATTCTACTCTTTTAGTTGTGTTTCATAGGACTAATATAAGATATATTATATATACTTGTACAGGATTTTGTGTTGTTGCTGTTTGGTTCTATTTTGGGCTATATTCCTCTTTATGTTTTATATTCTTTTCTGCTTTTTATTTCTATTCCACTTCTATTATTTTAGTTGTATTTTATATTCTATTCTACTTTATTTTATTTTGTTATGGACAGCTGTGGTTTATTTTGCATTGTTATAAAATATCTATTTTTTTTATTAGATTCATTCGCAAATTAAATTCTATTTTTATATTCTATTTTTTTTATAAATGATCAAAATAACAGGGCACTTTTAAATGTCCGAAAAACATTTAAAGCCATATTACACTTTTATTATATTATATAAAACAAGATCTTTTCCAGTTTGAGCCCTGTATATGATGTTTATTCTATTATTTCTTTTCTCTAATGTAGATGTTAATCAAGCACACCCTTAAACGAGTCAAAAGTGGAAGCTGAAGAAATAAGAAAATATCAACAATGCGGTTTTTGTTAATGGGTGTTCAGTTTTTATACAGTTCACATACAGTTTTTACAGATGTCCTCAGGCCTCTGATTGTAGATTTACAGGAGAATCTGTGTGTTCTCTTCCTGTCAATTGATTCAAAACTGTGGAGCAGTGTTTTCCAGCACTAACCGGGGGTTTTTGAGCCTGTCAGATGGTTTTGTTGACATTACGCCTTTAGATTTGAGAAGAGCAGGGATTTTTTCGCTCCTGTGGTGCGGCGAGTTACATAATATCACAGGTGTAGTGTCTGTGCGTTCATTAAATGCTCTGTTTATGACACTGCTTGAGCCTCTGGGTGGATTTACATAAAGACTATGAAGTAAAAGCTGATTTGTATGATTAAAAAAAATTGTTTCCTGTACAGACATCAGTGTTGTCCAAGCAATACATATTCCGCATTTTTGTGCACCAGGCCAGTAGATGGCGATATGACTTAAAAGTGATGACGTAAAAGAATAAATAATAAAATAAGCAGCGAATGTGGGTTGTTGCTTGATCAGATATGTTTGCGGCCCGATGTTAACGAGAGTTATTTATATTATTATTATTATTAAAAAAAATTTTAT